TATTAAACAGCAAATTATCACAGAAATTTGTTTGAGAAAAATAGCGAGGAAGAGCTTATTTTATTTCTAAAAAAAAAAAAAATCTGAAAGCCAGATTGCCTTTCGCAAAATTTCACACTATTTGTAATCTGACTCAGTTGACAAATATTAATTAAAGTTATTGAGAAAGTCCAAAAATGAAAGGCTCATGTCACAGTATTCCAAGGGTACTAGAGGAGAGTCAAAAATAGTATTGTTTTTTTCTTTTTATGGAATTCGATATATTTACGAGATTCATGAAGTAATGGGGTCGGATTGCCTATACAAATGTGTTGGAAAACGCTTTTGTTTCCTTCGCTGAAGAAAATATACCCCTTTTTGGGTGTGTCAGCTGGCAATTGCTCGATTATTAGTTTTTTTTTTATTTGGAACCGGTGTTCAACCGAAATGGCTTCTTCTTCAAAAAATTATTAAAAAGGATTAAATTTTTTTAGTTAGCCCTCTTTTTCACAAATATTCAAAAACTACTTTGAAATTGACCCATGTGACTACTCCATGGGTCAATTTCAAATCATTTAGACTTTAAAATTTTTAATTATGTATTTGATTAACATCGGAATTCGGACATGGCTAGATCCTTGGGCACACTACTCTACTTCTAAACTTAAGTTTTGCATAATCTGTAGAGTGAGTTCAAAAAAATTCTATATTTTTCTCAAGCATTACGCTCCAGGACACAAATAAAGTTTTAATTACCTATTTATTTCATTGTGCCACACGCACATATCAATATGCACCATCGTTCCTCCCTATGTAGATACTTGTGTATCAATTGGTCTGCTTGCAACATTTTGCTTTCGACACCGTTTAGTTTTTGTTTATCCATTGTTTTTGTTTTCTTATTTAACAAACATAGTTTTTAGCGTATGCGTGTGTGTTCCTAATCTTCACGTGAAAACGAAACATAAACAAACAATTCTTACTTTCTTCGTCGAAAGTAAATATTTGCCCTCCAAAACATAGTCAATTTTTTTGTCGTTGTCGTACCCTTAATTTATTGTTTTATCTACAAGCTACATGAGTATTAAGAGAATTTTAGCGAAATTTTCCTAATTCAATTTCAACATCCTCGAATAGCACATCCCACTGTGTGTATATAATGTAAATATGGATATGGTGTACAAATTACGGCGAAGCCATGACTACAAATTTTTATTAAACATCCCCACAAACACAACCACCACCCCATCTTGATATTTTCTGTTGTTGTTTTTTATTTTTCTTTTATGCTTTTGCATGTAACATGCAATGTGTTTGTATTTTTTTTTTTTTTGTTTACCCCTCCTATGTTGTGCTAAATTTACTCAATGTTGTTAATTTATTGCCTCTAATGTGAATCATGGGAAATAAATCGACTTTTTTAAATATTGATTATTTCAATATCAATGGTGTAATGCCAATTTAGGAAACTGTTCGTACAAAGTTATATTAATTTGGATAGTACATGAACATGTTTAGTCTACAAACATGGACATTATTCGTATTAGAATAGCTAACAAAGCATTAAAAAAATCAAAATTTGTTTCTTTGCGGAAGTAGAAGTCGAAACAAATATTTTTACAACAACAACAAAATTATTGCTTAAAAATGTTGGAAATTAATCAGTCTGTAGAACTATAGCTTTCATAATTAGCTATTAACACACTTGTTGGCCAACATATTTCGAACGTCCCAGTTGTTCCATAGTAGTATATAGGTAGTTACTTATTTTATAGATATAAATTCTCGAATGCAAAACAAAACAAAATAATTGTTTTGTCATTTTGTTTGGACTTTGGTGCAATTAATTTAAGAAGATAACGGTTTATATTAAATAAAAAACAAAACATTTTTTGGAAGCGATATCCCCTTAAAAGAAAGTTATTATGTACTGTAGTCAATGTTAGCATCAGTCCATAAAAAAAGTTTGAAGTTTGCGGGCGATCTGATCCTATATTACAAAGTTTTCCTTTAGATATTCCATATTTCAGGATGTATGGATTTCCAAAGGGTCCCTGTAAAATTTTAGAAGTCCATATTTAAAGAAGTATGGACTTCTGCAAAAATGAGAACGTCCACCTATTCAAAATGTATCTATATTGAGAATTACTCTGGTGCCCATTGCGAATTTTTAAAGTCTTGGATATACAAGGGTCTCAAGCCAGTATGGATTTCCGTAAGAAAAAATATATCTTTATATCAAAACGATCCGTGGGGCCTAAATTTAACTTGTTCCAAAGTCAGAAGTTGGTAGGCAAAGCATTGATAGCAATACAAATCTCTACCCTGCCTAAAACCAATTCTGTATAGGAGCACGTTTATTTATTAATCCACTAAAGTTATCAATAAGAATTGTCCCTCTTACCTCTTTTGATATGTTTGTGATTAGTCGGCAGTCGGTCTTCTTGTATTATCCTCACTCAATAAATTCATCAAAATATAGATTGACATAAATAAAAAGTTGTCAATAAGATTGTGTATGGTTACACCAATTTCACTATTATTTATTTTATTGGAGGGTTAGTTGCGGGCAGGGCACGGCGGCGGCGTCAGTGAGCAAGTGTACGAGATATTTTACGCGCATTCAATTAATTTTGATGTCCATTAATTTGTTGTTTTCCCTCCAAACACAGCATATCAAGGCTCCCACTCTACTTCTTCGTTCTCATGACAGGGCTGAACAACAGCTTATTCCTTGTGGGCATAGAGGAGAAGCAGTACTTCAAAAACAATAAAAGACCAACACAACAGAACAAATTGAGTCCGAATAATAACGAACGTTGAAAAAAAGATGACAACCGGAAGATTTAGATGCGGGTTTAACAACACAAATGATGCTGGAGAGTCGTTGTTGGTTCAAGAAGATATTTCATTTCAACCCAAGTAGTAATGTGGCGAACAGAATTAAAAAAATCAGCAGATTTGTTGCCGTTTGCCACTCTCGTTTACGTTGCGGCGCTGCTGGGCGTCAGCAGAACATATTTCACTTGTAGTGTCGGTCGTTTATGAAAAGATCGATCTTAACTTTCACACGCGGTACTCTTGTCATAAAAATTTTCCTCCGATGCGGCGATGTGTTTCTTAGTACATTTTGTACTCACCCCGCCACACAAAAGGGTCTCAAGGATATTTATTTATAAATTACACTGAACACTGTGGAAAGTACTAAAAATAAATTCAGCCAAAGGAAGGGGACGACGTTGGCAGGCAGGCAAGCAGTCAAAGCAATGAATGCAATTGTAAAGATGAGTAATCACAGCCAGGCCTACTTGAAAAATACGCACAGCAAGGTCTTGTTTATTTTATCTTTTTATTATTTTCTTTGTAATATTAAAATTGCCCAATAATTTTTTTTACGTTTCACTTTACGTCGCCAATTGTGGTGAGAAGGCCCACCTTATTCTTATTACACACTATTTCAGCAATAGCACAAAAAACAGAATATACCACAGATTTCAGACACTTCACGTTCAAGGAAATTAATATGAAATTAATCAATTGTTAGAAAACAGAAGACAGACACATTATTCACGTTTCAATCGCGTTTCTGTTACATAAATTGTCAATTGAACAATTAAATTAAATCACAAGTAATAATAAACACTAGAGTTCAACTGAAATTCGGGTAAGAAAAAAACAGAATTCATAAAATCGGAAAAAATTGTAAATTTGTTCGTAGTCAAGCGATAGTTGGTTGTACGTCAAAGAACCGAGTTACACTAAATAGCCGTGTGACGGCGGCGAAGCAAATGTAGGAAACGGCGTTGATGAAACACCATCATCGATTATATGTGTAATCGATAAATACTTAAAATAACACTTTTGGTCTGTTCCCCTACCAACACCTGCAATAATTAATTTTTTTATATAAAAAAGTTGTACAAATTAGTAGCATGGCATAATTATACAAGGTAGTCTCATGCGTCATATGTTTCCGAATTTTTCATAAATTTCCTTCTGGCAGTATAGAAAAGTAAATTTAAATGAAATTAACTTCCTTCGAAATGTACGCATATCATGTGTTCAGTGAAAAAATTCCTAAATAATTTATATTTATAAATATTTTAAAGTGCCCTGACTCTAAAACTTAAAAAAAATAAGATATAACAACCATGGTTAAATCTTGGGAGTAATGTTCAGCTTTAGAACGCACAAAACTGGTAAAACAATGAATCAAATGAATTTGACAGTCAATCGAGACATCAGCTGTTCTAAATAGACTTCCTATCTATTACGCCATAGTCAAGATCTATTAATAAGGTCACTGCATCCAAGATTTATTAATAAGGTCACCCAACTAGCGAAAGTCAGCTGTTTTTTCTTAAGTCGAATGTCAAAAATTTGGCTTTTGTTTACGTTTTCAGAATGGAAGTCAATTCACAATGATGGATTTTGACAGCAGACTTAAGAGCAGCTGATATCCAATTTGTCTTCCTGGAGTACCCTTGATTGCAAGGTATATTTAATAAGGTAGCCGCATCGGGCCAGCTGTTGGACAAATAAATGTCAAAAATGTTGTTGTAATGTTGAACGAAAAAATTAAAAAACAAAATTATAAATGAAAATCTCCGAATTTCTAATAGCTTTTTTGGCAATACTTTTATTAACAGTTTCTACAAGAATTTGTGTAAAAAAATCTTGCCAATCTGTTTGTTTTGGCAAAATATTTTTGACATATCAAAATACAACAACCGATGTTTGTTGTAGAAATTCGCCGATGCGGCTACCTTGTATATCTACCTTGCTTGATTGCATCATGCCATGGAATAAGGCGAGCAAGCGAAAGCGTTATTTTCGCTTGTGAAATCGTCCCCTTGAGAATGTACAGAATAAGGCTGGTTATAAATAGGCCATGTATAATAGAAGGAGAATTTTTTTCGCTAGTGACATATATCCCTATCAAACGCCGATTTATAATAGTATTATAAATTATTGAACCCGAAATAATTTTTAGTGACAACCGAAGTTGAATATATTTATATTTAAAACGCTCTTATATCTGTTCGCCTTTCTAAGACCTCAACACATGTTTTTGGTTTGAAATTTACAATTCCCAACTCTTTTAATGACTTCATTTTGTCCTCCAACGATGTATCTTCACTTTGCAGTGTCTCATGTAATAACATTGCAGTGCCAAGAGCAGCATTTAACAACTTATTAGCATCATGGATTCTGAAATTTAGAGAAAACAATATATATTCCGTTTCAAGCAACCGCTGTTTAGACGAAGAAATTGTCATACCTCTTGAATAATAAATCAGGCCTTCTGCAATATTGACCAAATAATGCAAATAAATTACGTGTCATATCATAATTAAATTGAGCTGCACCTGCTGGAGAAAATTTCGTATTCATGATCATACTATCCAGCATATATGCATCAATTTGCTGAGCTATTAATCTCAATGTAATATTGAATAGATTCGCTGACAATTCCCGTTCCAAATTGTGTAGAACAGTTACCATCACTTGAAACATTTCTCCGGCACTTGGTGATAATATAAATGGCTCTTTATTATTTTGATCTGGCATGGTGGGCCAACAATCGTGTCTGTAGGGCATTGACTTGGCCTTTATTTCATTGACGGCTTTTGTGGCTAGATTTTTCAATAGTTTTTCGGTCCAATGTTCAAGTTCGGAAACTGGATTTTCAAATACCGAATTGATTTCTTCAGCATTGGGTCCAACCAAGGCTGCGTGTAAATGTAGATAATGGACATTTTCACCCCACTCACTTAACACCATTTTAATGTAATTAATTGCATTTAATATGGGTATGCTCTCCACCATACCGCTGCTATGAAGTTGAACTAGGCGTCGTCGAAAATTATCTATCAATTCAAGTTGTAAACTTAAAAATTGTAATTGGTGCCCCGGTTGTATTAAGGAATAATAACGATCTTTTATGGCCTCTAGCAGTCGTATAAATTGATCTGCACATTTGGGAATTTTTAATTCATCATCATAGATATTGGGATCAATCAGAAGCCAAGGATTTTCTGCCTGCAGAATCATATCCATTTTTTCGGAACAAACTAGAAACGGATGGAAACAGTAGTTTTATAAATTAGTTGGTCACAACAATATACATACATCTTTCTTCCAACGATATCCATTTGAGTAAATACACCGGTTGTGTAATCACACATATGGCACTGGGAAAGCTGGCTGGATAACCAAAGTTTTCTCTTAACTCCGCTTCAAATGCTAATGTTTCATCTAATAGATGAGCAAACAGATTTTCATCGCGGCTTATTTCCTCAATGTCAGCTATTAGTTTTTCAATGGTCAATTGAACTAAGCCGCGCATAAACTCCAACTATAAAAATATCATTGAAAATGTCATTTGTGTACTGATGTAATATATTTACCCTGATATTGAAATCCAGCTTTCCTGCTTTAACTGCGGATGTTTGGAATGTTTTGCCAATAAACAAATGTGTCTCTTTACCCCAATTTAAGATTTGTGTAAAAAACCATTCTGGTTTGTCGAGGCGATTTGTTTGCTTAACACCTGTGAAGTGATACATGAATCTGAAAAAGCAAAGATAATTTTACTAATTAAGGGAATTTAATATCGATCAATGACAACTAACCGTTGCCTGTAGGGGGCCACTAAATATTTAGTTACTGTCGACAAGGGCTGGCATATAATGCTAGGCGTAAGCATTTCCAGTTGTTCAGTTTCTTCAGCTGGAGATTTTAACTGGAAAAAATAGTAATGACAATTTTTTTTGTATATCTCAACGGAAGGTACAAAATTTGTATGCTTACCAAAAATAAATATTCAGCTAATAATTGTGCTTTGTTTATGTTATCAACTGATGGTTTAATTAATAGCGAATCTTGCTCTTTTTGTCCCCATTTTAACGATTTTAAAACATTTTCAAATTCTCTGTAACAAGAAAAAAATATTTAGTTGGGTACTTATAAGTTCATTTATCATGTAAGCATACTTGGCAAATCTCTCTTTTAGTAAACCATGCCAATGAATAGCAGTTTGTGTGGCAAATGTTCTAAGAAATGGAGCTTCCACAGAGCTAAGTCGACCAACAACACTGTGCTCAAAATCACCTTCTTCGTATAAATTCAGATAAAGATTAACCATTTTAGCCTCATCTTTACCATTTATACATTGTGTCAGGGCGTTACTGAAATAAATAAGGTATATAAAAAATATAATTTAATAGTGTTTATATACATAAAGTAATTGTTATAATATTCCCACGTATATTACAAAAACTGCTTTACGTTTGGCCGGGAGAACATATTTGTATACCTTTAACAATGAAAAAAATAAATAAACAGTAAGGAACCGATTTCAACGAAACTTGCCAGATATTAATTTATATTTACTTCGGTATATTGTACAAAATAGTGCGCCAATCGAACAAATTTTGGGTCTGAACCAATTTGCACGAAACTTAACACACACTATTCCAGCCTTAATTCAGTACGTTATGTCAAATTTCAAAATCTGAATCGATTTTTACAAAACTTAACACACACCATTCTAGACTTAATTTAGTACGCTATGACAAATTTAGTGCAATTCGAATGACTTTTTTCTACCATTCACATTAAATCGGACGAAAATATATATGGGAGCTATATCTAAATCTGAAACGATTTTCACGAAACTTAACACACACAATTCTAGACTTAATTCAGTACGCCATGCCAAATGTCGTTAAATTGGACGAAAATATGGGAGCTGTATCTAAATTTAAGCCGTTTTTCACGAAACTTAACATACATTATTTTAAACTCAATTCAGTACGCTATGCCAAATATCGTATAAATGGAATGATACCGATAATTACTCTTCTGTTTAGAGAGTATTAAAATATATCCCAATAGCCTGAAATCTCTAGTAAATTTCGGCAGTTCCAGTAGATAAAATTACAGTAATTTGGCGAATCGATTCCAGAACAATTTTCGGATGAGACTCTCCAACCGAAAAATCTAAACCCGTTTGAGAATTTGGTATATTGCTGCTATATAGATATTTCCTTGTGCAGTTCTTATTTCCTTATGTAGTTCTTATACAAATAAATTACCTGATTTCCTGTATATCCTGCACAATACGCAAATATTGAACCAACTGCTGCAATTTTCGGACTTCTTCTAAATCCGGCTTAACAGCAGACAATGCCTTATTCGACTCTCTGATGCGTTCAGCAAGTTTTTTACCAAACTCCTGCAATTTGGTCATTTGGAAGTCTATGGTATCACAAGTTTGTTTCTCACATTCAAAGGCCGATTTGAAACTGGAAACATTATTGGGCTCTTCATAGCTAAGCTAAAATTCATCACATTTAGAGACTACTACTAAATACAAAAGGTTATTATATATATGTGCATACCTTTTCCCGTAGTTTTTCCAAACGAGACTTGTAGTCTTCAACCAGCAACGATGCTCTGTGTAGTTTTTTGAAATCGCTGCCAATTTCATTATTAATCCTCGATAATATACGTTCTTCAATTGCATAATTGGCCTTAGACATTTTTTTCGCGGTGTGTTATTTGAAACGCAAGACAATTCTTGTGAATAAAGAAAATATAATTTCTAATACCAACTAAATTGCCTTCCTCAACTAGTAGTACTACAGCATAGGTGGTAATCGTATACTATATTTAAACTTTATAAAAATATCTTTTTAATGAAGTAATCAGAAAACCAATGATGCCTCTGATCTTCCTCACAATCGATTTATTGTAAATAGACTCCGATAATATCGTCCAAATTGAGAAATTGTCTGTTTTAATAAATTTTAACTTTTAACACGACAACAAAACACGTCACCTTCCACCGACTGAAGAAATATTGAAAAACGTTCCACATGTTACGAATGGGAAAGACAAAATGCCCGGTAAAGAAGAAGTCAAAAAATAAGGCGGAAAGTTACGAATGAGGTGGGATAGAGACTGAAAAGGAGTTGCATTGTTTACGAATGAGGTTTAAGGAACAACAAGAATAGCAAGGGTAGCTCACATTCAGAGCTTGCTAATTACAACCCTGTAAACCTGAGGTGAAAGCAAACGAGCCGAGGACTAACCTGGTGAATGAGAATCAAAACAAACGAGAGGAGGACCAACCAATCAGCTGTTTGTAGTTCCGGAACGACTAGTTTGTTATTCACTATAACATGATAACACATTGTTTTATTGGACTATAAAATAAGAGAATTTACGTTCTCGTTTACATCGTACTGGATTTAATTAAATATTATATTAAATATTAAGTAATAAACTAAGTGTGATATTGGAAAATTTTGCCACCTGTTCAGAAGGGGAACATAATTACATTGCATAAAATCACACATATAGATATTTTTAATATGTTAAAATTAAATATTAAATTTATTAAATTGATTGCCCTTATCAGGTTCGTGAAACGTCTTTAATTTTAATTTACGATGTTTTAAAATCGACGATTTTTTCGTCTAAGCGGAATTGGTGTATATGTTAAATTGAACGAGATATAGTTCTTTGCCGGCGACGTTTGGGGTATGTTTGGATTGAAAGATCATACGTTTGTAGAGTAAGTGAGAAAATATTATGCGGAACAACTGCTGTTATGATTTTTTTATTCCCCAGGGACGTTGCTAAACATAAGTCATATCTAAGGTTAAGACTGAACTGGTCACTACAACTACTACAACTGTTCAAGCTGTTGTGGATTTTGATATAGCCACTCCGGCATATCAGAAAAAATTTAAACGTACTTGTCCGGCTCTTATACTTTTGCGTATATTGCAAAAATTCCGTGAAGAATTCAATTGCGACCCGTCTTTCAAAACCCGAGAGAAGCCATTACTTTGTGTGAGTGACTCATGGGTGGCGAGGAAAGGGAATTTTTGGTTTTTTGTTCCCAGCTTTAACACTGAGTGGGTGGTTGCAGCCATGGTATAATTATTACAAGGTAGGACACAGCTACCAACTGATTACAATTTTTTCTCAAGGTGGCTTGTTCCATCAAATCAAGATACATATTTTGTGTATGTGTGTGTATTGTTTTGAATATAATGTCAAATAAATTCAAAATAAATTGAAATATATTCAAATTTAATAGAAATGAAAATTATGTTATGTTTTTAACACGTTCGTCTGGAAGTAATTATTTTGTTATGGATGAAACAAACATTTGATGGTATTCCCTACTGGATTTTGGGAAGAAATCATAACCTTTCATTCGTTTTTCTTTAACACAAACACTTCTTGCGTATATTTATTTTTGGCAGAAGAAGCCACTCGTGCACTCGTGTTTTTTTGTTATTCACCTCAAGATGCCCTACCTTGTATTATTGTACCATGAATTAACCCGTTCATACGTTCCCAATTTTCCTGTTGGTTGATTTTTAAAAACTTAATTTGTCATATTCATATTGACACTAGTATTACGTTGGAATCAAATCAGCTGGGTTTTGCTGTTACCTTTTATAATTGTTCCATGTGCTCGCCCAAATAAATTTATAATGTTATACGCAATGCATATTTGGATAATACCATGTTTTGACGAGCATTCGAACAACGTAGTTCGCTCTCAGAGCTACGTACATGAATTAACCCGTTCATACAACACTATTCTTAATTCATGTCATCAGAATTTTCTTTTTCAAATAGCTTGTTTCTCCTTTTACACCGAAATCTCAACTTATTTGAGTGTATTATTAATTAATTATTCTCTTTATCCTGAATATTGTAAGAACTCATAGCTATTTACTTTTTCATTCATGTTTTCCATTTTTTCTGAAAATGTTTTTTTTTTATTTTTATATTTTCATTTTTCTATTTTCTCAATTCAAATGTCACATATAAAAAATTGTAGAATCTTCAATTTGAAAGTGGACTAGCTGGAGGAGGAACTGCCTCCAGTTTTTAAAGAGATAAATAAAATGTTTGCCACTGGACACAAGATTTGAGTACATTTCGTTTAAATTTTGAAAGCTGAATGTTTTCAAAACCAAATTTATGAAAATAATGGAAACATCCCATGGTCTCATTTGAGAAATTAATAATGGCAACCCTTTTTAATTTCGAACACATCTATCAATTGTTTGAAAAATAAATTTCATAATAGTACGTTTACATTGCATTGGATTTCGTAACCCAATGGGTTTAAATTGTCAATTCCTTTGTATGTAACCCGGTAAAAAGTTATAATCTAAATGCCGTTTAAAATTATTTGCATGTCGAATGGCATATTTAAAAAAAAATATAAAAATGTATACATTCTGTAAATAAGTATCTCCATTTTTTATTAATATTGCTCTTAAGATATAACAAAATATATTTATAGATTATAGAGGCTGGAAACTTCAAGATAATAAACATTTTCTAATTATTGCCACTGAACACATGTTGTGCGTACATTTCGAAGAAGGATATTTTCATTTAATTGTTGAAAGCTGAATGTTGTCAAAAGTAAAATTATGAAAAAAATTGGACTCATATATCTGCATGAGACTACCTTGTTTAATTATGCCATGGGTTTCCGTTTGAAGCAATGATTCGCATAAATTTGGACTTAGATCCAAATTCCGTCAATAATTCCTCTTTAGTTGGCACATATCGTCTTGTCTTCATTTTTGTGCACGGGACACAGGATGCAGAGGTTCCAATCATTGGGCATGCATTCCACTAGCCAAATGGTACTAATCAACTGGTACTTGCTCCTGACCAGCATCTGACCACCAGTCTTAAATAGTTTGACAACATTCAGCTTTCAACATTTAAATGAAAATATAAAAAAATATGAAATGGCAATAATTACAAAATGTTTAATATCTTGATGTTCCCAACCCCTAAAATTTATAAATATAAGTTATAACGTCTGTAGTTATATTTTAAGAACAATGTTGATCTAATAATCGATATATTTAGTACTTGAAAAATGTTTTCCTAATTAGTGAAAACAAACATCAAATTTGGTTTATAATAAATAATTGCAATGTTAAAAATTTAGTGGTAGAAAATGTAGCTCTGATTGTTCCAAAACATGAACCCATATATTTTTGATTCATTGTTACCCAAGAATGCAATAAATTGAAATTTATCACTACCAATCCACAACCTACCTTTAACTTACTGATCCTCATTACCCAAACATACTGGTCCACATTACCCGCCACATTATTTTTATTCGCAGTTTAGAGTTTTTTTAAATATAATACAATAACATTTTTATAGACAAATATATATAATTTTTGACCTGGAATATATTTGGTCAACAAATCTACTATGTTGTGAAAACAATTTGTTTCTATTTTTTACCGTTGCTACGCCCACAATATAAAAAAAATAAAATGGTGGTCCACATTACCCGAAGTTACTCTATGTATCCCTATTAACATCTGATGATTCAAAAATCGGAAATTTTTATTGTTGATTATTACGTATATTTGGAATCAGTATAACTTTTCAAAATTAATGGATTTTGAAAATTTTCTTTATTTAGTGAATTATTACGGACAGCACTTGCTTTGACGTGTTCCATTGCATAACAATACAAGGTAGTCTCATTTGAGAAATTGAAAATGGCAACCCTTCTTAATATGGAATTCAAAACAAAAATACGTTCTGTCATAGTTGAATTTTTTCAACTTTGAAAATTCGTACGTCGACGTATTTCGGTAACATACATATAAATACATGTGTTCTACTTTTGTGGTGAAAAACGTCGAACGAGCTAGTTGACGTTTCGTTGTACACACCAACAACAATCACTTGATGTGACGCTCTGAGCCAAACAAATAACTTACGCCTTACAATACAAACAATTTATTGTTACCGACTGGCTACACACACATATTGTTGGAGACACCTAGGCTTATATAGTAAGCCACCGTGCATATTGTTGTACCATACAGGTAATATCGTTACCAATAAATACTCGGCATTGGTCGAAACCCCTTTTATTAATTAAACTATCGTGTTTTATTTCTCTTCTTTTTTTGCTCACGAGTACGCGTTGGGGGTACTGACTCAATTCGAGAATCTGTTGCACTGTACCTGCCAACCACCCAAGTCCCTATAGTGCGGACTTAACACATGGCAATTGTCAAATTTTTAACAAATTAAAGAAATATTTTTTCTTAAGCTCCACATTTTTCTCAAGATGTAACTAAGAATTTTTTAATTTATATTTACAGGTTTTATAGGCAGGGAACTTACATATATTAATAAATAAAAATGATACAAAGTTTTTTTTGCCACTGGACACAAGATTTGCATACATTTCGGAGGAAGATATTTTCGTTTAAATTTTGAAAGCGAATTTATTAAAAAATTTTGAAACATATGACTGCATGAGACTACCTTGTATAGTTCTGCCATGGACGTGTTCATAATTTTATGAATTTGTATTGTAATTTATATTGTCGTCGATGATTCAGTTTGACTTTTTAGCACCATTAAGATTTACTTTATTTGGGTCAAGATTATTATAAGGTCTTCCTTCGTTGGCTAAATTGTCTCCCTAATATATATTTGGAGGCGCTGCGTT